CAGCATTTTCTGTACCAGGTGCAAAAAAATTAAGAACTATGATTGGAAAAAGTTACAGTTTTAACAAAGAAGCATTACGTGAAATTTTTCAACAAAGAATTGATTATATCTCATTAACTACAGACTTCTGGACCAGTAGAGCCAAGCATGGATACCTTGGTATTACTGCTTCTTTTATTGCAACAGACTTCAGTGTAGTTGACATCATGTTAGATATTAAATATGTTCCTGCACCTCATACTGCAATTGTAATTGCTGATTCTCTTTATGAAAGTATTTTAGACTGGAATTTGTTAGGTAGAATTGTATCTATAGTGACTGATAATGGTGCCAATATGATTGCATCCATTCAATTACTTAACCAAAAACCTGGTTGTTATGCCATCAAACGTTTACCATGTGTATCACACACATTACAATTAGCAATTGGAAAAGGTTTAATGATTGCTGAGGTATTGGTTGCTCGTGTAAGAAGGATAATTAATTTTTTTTCAACACAAAAACAAGTAGAGAGATTAAAAAATGTACAAAAACATTTAGGTTATACAGAAGCCTTGCAATTGGTACAAGATGTTTCCACTAGGTGGAACTCCTCATATTATGCATTTGATCGTCTTTTCTTTTTAAAAGATGCAATTATTCAACTTCAAACTGATTTATGTACATCAACAAATAGAGAAGAAAAAAAAGATGGAAATAAGCTTAGAAAAATAATGCTATCAGATGAGGAATGGGATTTAGTTGATGAATTAATAACTTTATTAATGCCTTTTGAGCAAGCCACATGTGAATTTTCAGGTGGTTCTTATGTTACTTTAAGTAAAATGGTGCCAACAATAAAGGAATTAATATTCAATTTAGGAGATTTTTATGAAGCATCATTATTGGGTGAAACTACAACCAGTGAATTCAATGATCTTTATGAAACAAACTCAATCCCAGACATTGATGATGATGAAGTTTTAAGCAATTATTCAAAAAAGAAAATTTCAATCAAGTATCCTATAAATACAATTAATTTATTGAATAAAATTAAAGAAAAAATCTATGATTCATTAATCTATTATTGGAATGGCCCTAATGACCTTGGATTATTAGCAACTCTTTTGGATCCTCGTTATAAAAATTTAGATTGCATTGATGATGAGCATGAAAAACAACAACTAATACAACAACTTTATATAGAATACAATGAATTGAAACCTGAATTGAATATAAATCAGAATGAACATCAATTAGTTGATTTTATAAATGATATTTCATTAACACGTTCTTATCAAGGGTATAAACATTATCGCCTCTTGAAGGGTAAAAGAAAAAATGTTTTGTCAAATGATCATTATTTATTAGATGAAGTAAAAAGTTATTTGGATCTTTCATTAGCATCAGAGAATGAAAGTCCATTAGAATGGTGGAAAGCTCGCACACAAGCTTTTCCATACCTTTCTAAACTTGCATTAAAATATCTTTCAATACCAGCAAGTTCTGTGTCAAGTGAGCGTCTCTTTTCTGATGCTGGTAATATCATAAATCAAAAAAGAAACCATTTAAATTGTAATTTAGTTGCTAAGATGCTTTTTCTAAAGCAAAATATGAAATTCATGAATGTTTTTGCACCAAGTTGGGATTCTAATGAAGATATAGAATCAGAATAGTTCATTGTAATTATTGTAATTACTGTTATTTTTAACAATAAATAATAATAATAACAAGATCGTCCAAAAATTCTAAATCCGTTTTGAATCCGGTTCCAATCCGGTTCCAATCCGGTTTGCCTGTTTAGAATCCGAATTCGAACCGGTTTGATAAAAATAAACCGGATCCAAACTCTACATATACAGAACACCACTATGATTTGTTGTTCACAGAAATAAGTTATGGTCCATATACCAAAAATCCAAATCATGATAATCATATTGTTGATGATAAGAAAAGATTGAGCAGATTAGCAAAAGACACATATAATCATAATTATTTTTTCATAAAGCAACTGACAAATGATGTCCTAAAGCTTCTTCAAAAATTGAAATTCTTTACATTACATTTTTATGAGACTAATATTGAGATATGCATACTAGACAGGGAATTTCATCCATTTTATTGTATGACACCTTTCAGAACACTTGAATTGCCTTTAAACAATCAGAATGATACAGATAATGCTTCAAATTTCATTGCCTTATGTGAGGACCTTTTGTCATTGAGAGATATGATTTCAAGAAACATTTCACTAATAAATGATATTGATAGTTTAGTAGTGTCATATTTGGATAAATCACAAACAGAACAAAACACTCCAATGGCACCAACATCACAACAAAATGAAATATCACCACCATCATCTGGTAGTGTATTCATAACTTATGATTCTTCATAACTAAATTTAAATTTACATTAAAGTGTTATTTATTTGTTACTAAAATGGGATTTGGTAATAATTGACTATTGTATTAGCAATTTAATATCTAGCACACACATAATAATAGATATTAAAAAAAATAAAGGTAAAAACCACAAGGCAATTTCATTTGGAAACCATTGATAATCATTATCTTTTTTGGCCACCCTGATCTAAACCTATTCTATCTTTTCATTATTATTATTATGTTAATATTAGCACTTCCTTCACCTTCCCATTTTTTTATTTTATTCTTTATTATTATTGATTCCTTAAGATTTGGTTTTTTTTTTTTTTTTTGCAGTAAAAATTAGCAATTCTACATAATTCATAGATTTCAGCTGCCATTCCATTAAATGAAAAATCTGGATTCAAATCAGTCTTCTTATCAACTATTTTTGTTTATAAACTGGTTTACTTGATTTATTTTTTGTTTTGACCCAGATTTTTATTATATATATCAATTATGTCAATTTTTTCAGTCAATACTATTTATTTTGAAAACATAAGGGGCAATTTTTTCACCTTGTTCTTTTTCAAAATACTTCTGATGATACTATAATTCTTGGGTTCCATAGTAGATCTGATGTAAATGAGTTTCATATTATTATTTAATATAGGGATAGTTCTATATATCACTTAACAAATGGGACATTATAAAACTAATTGTGATGATAATAACTAAATTTTGATCCCTGAAATTCTTGGTAATACCAATATTCACTTTGTCTGGTTTTGCTACAGCATGCCCCATATAATATTACCCTAAATATAAATGCACGTCTCTGATCACCCGGTCCGTAGATCTTGAGTGAATTATCCTACCGATACCCAAAGATCGATAATATCGATAAGGGGGGGGGGGATATCCCTCTTGTATATTTTCCCAGGCTGAGGCTCTATAAATTTGTAAAATCAAAAACAAACAAGATGTTTTATGACTTAAATATTCCTTATTCCACACAACTAGATATTACAAATCAACAAAATGAACTTTATAAAAAAGTTGCTTTGCTTACAAAATGTAACCTTGTAATTTTTTAGTATTAAAAATATATTAAAATATTTAACTTTATTTACTTTAATCTAGTTGGCTATCAAGTAATTGCACATAATCATACAATTATCGGAAAAGTCAACCCTAACAAAGTATTTCAGTTTTTTTATTTATAATAAAATCTGATATAAGTTACATGGCTAAGAAAATATTTGTATTTGTTTAGAGACAAATCCCATCAAAAAATTTGATATTTATGAAAATTCTGGAAGAGATGTTAAACTAGAACAATTAACCAGACTCACTGTAGTACTTGAAGATTCAAGTCAAAATTATGGATTGGTAATTAGTATTTAAAGATGATGATAATAATTGACGTATTATATATATATATTACATTACCTATTATCATTAATTTTATCTTATTTTTTTAAATTAACAGACATCATCAAACAATACAATTCTATCATATGATATTTTTGCTGTCCAACCAATCAATGAAAAGTCATTTCAAAATACTTGTAGTAATTTTGATGTAGATATCATATCACTTGAGATGGGATCTCGCTTGCCATTTTATTTGAAGCATGGTATGGTAGGTTTGGCAATTGATCGTGGTATATTCTTTGAGATTTGTTATTCTCCAACCATCAGAGGTTTGTTTACTGATTTTATGCCTAAATTAAAAAACTTTTGATATCAACATTTTATTTTATTTTATTTTAATTATTACGATATCTCAAATAGATTCTATATCTAGACAACATCTTATTTCAAATGCTCAGAATTTGGTTAGAGTTACTCGTGGTAAAAATATCATTATCTCAAGCGAAGCACAAAGAGCAATAGAATTACGTGGGCCATATGACATTATTAATTTGTAAGAAATTTAATAATTTATTTAATATGTAATTTTTTTTCATATGAATGTATTAAAAATTTGATTTCCTTTTAAAACAGAGGTACAATAATGGGCATGAATCAAGCTTTATCCAAAGATTGCATAACTACAAATTGTCGGGCAGTTGTGATGCATGCAGGTAATTTTTTTTTTTATAAACTACAAGTTTATTTTAATTTCTAAAAAATTTTTACATCCATGCAAATATATATTGTATATGTATTGTAAATTTAAAAGCTACTCGGAGAAATACACATAAGGCTGTTATTTCTTTTAAACCAGTTTCTTCATTGAAACAAAGTGACTTATGGAGGATTGAATGCGAAAAGAAAAAATTGGAAAAAATAGAGTCAAAAGGCAAAAGAATAAAAATTGAATAAAGATTTGATTACCGACGAAGAATCCATGTATAAATAATAATAAAACCAGTTTGGAACAATAAAATCATCCATTTTTACCATGATGTCACAACTAGCGGGTGGTATTATTATAGGTGGCTTTAATATAATATTCACCTTGTTGCATTATACCCATGTTAACTTAAATTGATGTTTCTACAATTAATAATAATTAAAATAAAATTTTGCTTAAAGTGGAAATTTATCAACAGCACTACAGCACTACCGTTACAATTACTACAAACATTATTACTGTTGTTACCATATGATTATTATATTGACTTTAATTGATGTTTTTGACAAAGCTCATTGATACCATTATCACATCACCTTTTTGATCTTAAATTGTTTCAATTGAATTTAAAATTTTCTATCTATAATCAATCCCTCTCTGTTGGATCGAATAAGGATGTTGGTGATTTAAAAGTCAATTAAATGACTGTTGTCGTTGAGTTAATCTAATGAATTGGATAAGGATGTCGGTGCCAGTATAAAAAGTCAAGGGAATGGCCGTTGCTGTTGAGTCTAATGAATTAAATATGGATATTTGTGTAGAAAAAGTCAATGAATTGAATAAGAATGTTTGCGTAAAAGAAGTTGATCAATTGACTGATGCTATTGAGCCTAATGAATTGAATAAGGATGTTGGTGTCAGTGTAGAAGTCAATGAAACGACCGTTGCTGTTGAATCTAATGAATTGAATAAGGATGTTGATGTAGAAGTTAATGAAGTGGCTGATGCTATTAGTTCTAATGAATTGAATAAGGAAGGACGTTGTGTATAGAAGTTAATGGAATGGCTGATGCTAATGAATTGAATAAGGATGTTTGCATAGAAGTTAATGAATTGATTGGCGCTGTTGAGACTCACGAATTAAATAAAGATGTTAGTGTAGAAGTCATTATTTAACGAATGAATTTAATGATGCTAATTTGGTAAATATACTGAAATAGTTATTATTTTTATTTTTTTTGTTTGTTTTGATTATGACCCGTATTTAAAGGAAATTATAGGAACTTATAGAGAAAAAATCGATAAGTATTGCGATTCTATTATATATTATGATTTCTTTGATATTTCCTATTAATCCGGTTCAATAATCGTTGCTACTGAAATAGCTATTTTAATGGATAATAGAATCAGGAAGAACCAACGGATATTATTATTATCGATGATGATGAGCAATAATACTATTAACAATTATGATATTGTTAGTAATGATGTTGTCGAAACGATCACCATTCCATCATTTTTATCATTTTTCAACTTCACCAATACTATCAGATTACCACCAACGTTATCAGATCATCAACAATAACATCAAATCAATCACAAATTAAAAAATTTACCGCGGAAGATTATTTAAGAGATTTGGGTGAACAAGAAAAGAAGCTGGAAATTGAAATCGAAAAATTATTGAATATTGCAAAAAAAGAAATAATGCAAGTTCAAGTCATATATAAAGAAAAAAACCAATGTTTATATTTTATATAAATCTCTAGTTTGCTTTAATTTTTATAATTTCAAAAATAAAATATTATTGATATTGACAGTTTTTCAATTGAGCATGTGCAAGTGAGCTATGTAACAATATAAATAACAAAAATAAAAAGCGGCATGTTGCCAAAAAATTTTTTTTAATTTCCGATTTGATTCCTTTGTACAATGAGAATTTAACAACATGGAGCTGAGTAATTCCCAAAAAGCAGACGTGACGGAAGACCATACATTGACGGTAGCACCTTCAATCAAGAATATTGCTTGGATGATGGTAATCTTTTTTCTTTTGATCCATCACACTTTTTAACCCATGCAAAAAAAAGGAAGTGATTATTTGGCTGATACTCATGTCAAGTTGATAATTTTTTTAATTAATTGACCGATACTATGGGACGAATTTGCCAACAACTAACATAATTGTAATTGGTTCGATCTTGTGGATCATATATGTGGCGACCCAGACTGTTTTGATAAGGAAACGGCTGTAAAAACGAATGTCATTATTATTATTATTTGTTGAAAGGGGGTTTTTTTTGAAATAATTTTCATAGTCATAAGAAACATCTTGTTTTTTTATTTTATCCTTCCCAAAAAATTTCGTTTAGTAAGAGTTTCCTTGGCTCAGAACATTCGTTCTGCTCGCTCGTTCGTTCTGGGTGTATAATAATAAGCACTTCTATAAAAAATGTGTAGATCACTCCACATGCTACATACGAGTTTTGTGTAATTTTTATTTTTTACATTAATATTAATATTGCTAATTCGATAGTTACTTCTGAACAGATTATTAGGTCTACTACAGACAAGGGTAGTATTTGAATACATTTCATCTTCATAAATTGTGGTGTTAGAAATCCAATTAGCAAAGATTAAGGAAAATCTAAATTAGACGAAAACATTCTGAATATTATGCTAAAAGAGAAACTGAAGCATCTGATGATTGCTTGTCATTAAAAAATAGTGCTGCAACGACTACTACAGCTTTGTGTCTTTTTATCGCTAATATGACAACAGTAGTTAATAGCCATAATATTGAATAAACTTATTTCAGATATTTCAGAAATGAATATAGCCTCAATCGATATATTATCCATTATAGACTTTAAAATTTAAAGATCATCTATAAGAAAATTACTGTTTAATAATAATAATAATAGTTAGCATCCGAGAGCTTTATAAATAAATCCTAGTAATCTTTTATAATTAATTATTAATGAAAAATTATTGTTATTAAATGTTAATGCACCATCAAAAAAGAAAAGAAGGGAGAAAAAAATGAACGAAGAAAAAAAGAAATAGGCGAGTTGGAAAGTATGGAATTGTAAAAATGGCATCTTAAATGACTGCAGATATACGCTGATATTTGAATTGAGGATTTTTGATAATAATAAACAGATAGGATATCTGGATCCAAGCTCTGAACATAATAATAATAAACAAATGGTTAAAATCTAATAATTTGCAATATTTTAATTAATTATTTTTTATTTTTATTATTTGAAATATATATATATATATAATTTTTATTTATCGAAACTACTCAAATATATAATATATATATTAATATGTATTATCTAGCTGGACTAATACCAGAAATACATTTTTGAAATAAACTATTAAAAAAATTAAAAAACTAATTAATTCTGTTTTTCTTATTCATTCATTCTAATTTTTTTCAACTTCATCCATTAAAAAAAAAAGGCGTGTAAATAAAATAGTAACAAACTAGGTTTTAAATATGTTTACATATTATATATGTGTGTAATATATGATCTGTGTTCAAATAATAATAAATTTTTTGTTATATTTTGTACAAAAATTAGATATTAAAAAAGAAAAATAATAATAATAATAATTCCCCAAGATATTGATTTAATGAAATGATTAATGGAAATTGTTGATTCTTTATGTGATGATTATAGTGATGGTGATGTAATGGTAGTCAGTCATGATGTTGTTAATGATAATGGTAGCCAAAGTAAATATAAATGTGTTGTAATAATATTGGGAAATCAACAAAATTTTAAAAAAGGGGGAAGAATGATGAAAAAGGGAAGAAAAAGATTTGTTAATTAACAAAAATAAAGCAAAAAAAAATTTTTTTTAAGTCCAATGGGTTATTTATATATATAAATATATGTGTGTGTATTTAACAAAAATATCAAATAATACTAATAATATTACTAGGATGAAAAACATATATATATTTTATCGTTTATTCCTATGACTTTCATGACTATTATTACTGGACTAAATTATCATGTTTAATAAAAATAAATAATATTATTAGTTTAATAGGAATTTGTATAAATTATAAACACGGATAAATTTTAAATGGTTTGTTCTTTACTATACCCTAAAGCTATTTCCTCGGAAACTGTTGGAATATCCATTATTACGATATGTATTTCCACTACTACCACTACCACTAGCTCCACTGCCACCTCCACGACCACGATTGCCACCACGATAACTATTATTTCCATTGCTACCTCTTCCGCCTCTGTAACCACGGCCACGATAACTGCCACGATATCTTCCTCCATCAATTGATACTTGTCCAAAAGTTTCAAGATTTAAACGTCGTTCCTCAGATTGTTTTTGTCTTCTTTCAGCTACAGATAATCCACGACTTTTTATAAATGTTAAAAGGTGTCATAAACAATAATATTTATAATAAAATCTTTACAGTAAGAAATAAATAAGTAAAGAAAATAAATTGAAAAGGACATACCGTCCATCTGGTCCTTGTTGTTCCAATCTTTCTTTAGTTTCACAAGAAATATTATCAAAAAATGATTTGGTTTTATCATAGAAACTTTCAGGTGGAGGTATTAAAATTTCTTCATCTTCATCTTCAACTTCACCATCTATTGTATTTTCATCTTCTTTAATGGTATGGTCATGATTGGGTGTAGTTTTCTTCACTACTTCTTTTACAATTTCTTCCTTGTTAAATTTAGCATTAGATGATTCAAAATCAAAATCAGATTGTGGCACTGGAATCCTATTTCTATCATAACTTTGATTATAACTTCGACGACTACCACGGCTTCTACGATTTTGTTGTACAAGATGTCCGCCCATACCCGGAAGTTTATTGTTACTTGAGGTCGAACGATTATTGTTAAAAACTATGATTATTATTAGAAAATATTATCAGAAAAAGTTATTATTTAAATCATTAAATTGGTTATTATTGTGAACAGTTGATTGAATTAACTAAATAAATAACTAACTAACCATGCTTATCAACATTAGTTTCTTTTGATGATACACTCAACTCACTAACCTTCTTGGCCAAGATTTCAAGAGCAGCAGTTGATGGAGTTTCTTTTGTAGTAGTATTGGTAGTGTTGATAGAATGAGTGGTAGAAACATGAGAAGGATTGGCTGAAGGAGTGGTAGAAGATTCATTCCTGTGATTGGAAGTAGTAGAAGGAGTTGTAGAGGAAGATGATCTTGAACTTGTGGAGGTTTTTGAGAATTGTTTAAGCATTGAGGTTTGTCTGTCGGTTTTATGGTCTTCAGATTTTTCGGTTATGGTATGACCCTTCTGTATATTCAATCAGTTTATTAGAGAAGAGGTATTTGGTGTGAAACAATAGGCCAATAGAGAACCATACAGCATTTATTAATTATTATATGTAAACATTTTTATTTTTATTTTTTATTTTTTTGCAGCCAAAACTGCAGACCTGTTGTTGTATCTTTGGTTGTTCAGCCTCTTTATTAGCGTTTTCTGAAATACTGTTTATCTAAATCATGATTTAAAAAAAAAACATTTAATAATTAATTAATTAACTATGAGATTTAAGCCTACATACCTGTGGTTGGGAAGTTTGTTGCTGTTGCTGTTGCTGTTGTTGCTGTTGTTGTTGCTGCTGCTGTTGCCAATATTGCTGTTGTTGGAATGAAGCTGCAACTTGTTGAAGATAAAAAGGATTTAAAGGAGTACCAGGAAAATTCGGTGGTGGTTGTACACCTAAAGGTGGGGGAGGAGCAAAGCCTTGAAAATTTGGTTGGCGTGGAGCAGTAGTCTGAAAAATTAATTATAATAATAATTAATATAAATATAAAATATATATATGTGCGTATAGTTTTTTTATTAAATTTTTAATTTAATAATAAAATTGCTTGTTCTAAGGGTTAATCAGTAGGAAGGCAACATATAATTTTCAACATATTATTTTAAAAAAAATTCTGCTATTTCATTTAATGCATTCATCATATAACTCAAAAAACAGGCAATTTTTTAAATATTATTATTATTATTATAAACAATACTTTAAAAGCCTTACCCCAAGAATTGCAGGATCATTAGGAACTTGAGGAATTGATTGTTGTTGTGTGGGAGCTTCACAAACATGTAAATCCTTCACATCTGAACCACGAAATACTATATATTCAAAAACATTGTCAGATGGAGGAATTTCTTCTGGTGGATTTCCTCTACGTCCTTCAGTTCCATAAGAACGAACTAGGAAATAATAATCATTATTAATATAATGACGATAATGATAGAGTAGAAAAGCAAACAAATATTTGTCATAATTATCGAAATTATTAAAATTATGTCTATCTGCTATTTATTTATATGTCGGCATAAAATTCACTGCCGTTTTTTTTACACGCTTATCTATACTATGTATATTGCTAATTTATTTTCTTCAATAATCATTTAAATAAATGATTCAAAAGAAATCTACTAACCTTGTTCAAGTGCTACAGTTGAATCAGCTTGATTAATGCTGTGAAGTATACCAACATATCTGATATCAGATCTAGAGATGAGACTAATCTTGGACCCAATATATCCAATACTGCTGCTCATCTTTTATTTAATTGAGGAATTAAACCTCTCTGTTGAAAAGGTCGCAAAAATAAAATAAGAAATAGGAGTAAGAATGGTGAATTTAATAAATAATTTAATGAAAAAATTTTTTGGCTATTTAAAAAATTAAATAACAAAATTACTATTTTATTTTATTAATTAACGCAAATAAGAGATTTGAAAAAAAGCCGTATCACGGTTTCTTTCCAAAATTCGTATATAGCTACAGTCGGACATCAGTCGATCGTTCGTATGTAAAATAGAAACACCCGATCCGTGTAACCAATCGATTCTTTATAACAAATTCAAATTCAAGCAAATACATCATTAACCTAAAATACAACTATGTCTCTCATATTGATAGTGACCTTCTATATAAAGTTATAGTTATTCGAAAACAGCTATTTCAAAACTAAAGATATTTCCTTTATAAACTTGAAAAGATGGAAAATATTGTATGTATTGTGAGATCAAAATCCATGGTCTCACACGAATCTTTTGATTTGGTTAGAATAGTATTTATTTCGTTTTATGGCAGTATCCAATTATTTAATTCTTAATTACACTCTCTTTATTTTATGGCAGTAATAGCACTCAAGCTATTAATCTGTTGTGGGGAAGTCTTGTTACTTCCCATCCAGTAATGTTTTCTTGGCAGTCCTTTGTTATCTGCCTGAGCTGGCATGCCTCAATTATTATTTATAATATCCTAAGTATCTGCCTTGATACTTTCTGTGCCTATAATTATATTTATGGCTCAATATTTTAATTGACTGCACCTAGCTAGAGTTTCCACTTCTTAGGCATTGGCCTAATCTAAATAAAAATAAAGGGAATAAAATTAAAAGAAATATATACACAACTATACTTATCAAAGGCATCCCCTTGGTAAGATAGTAATTAATTAATCAGTTAGGTAAATCTTAGAGTGAAAGGTTTATGTAGTTTTGGAAGCAGGTGGATTATTCCACTGGCAAGAGTTTTTATTAAGAGGTATTTTACACAGTAAGTCTCGGTATAGCAGATGTCTAATAAAACTCTCAGTTTAACGGATCAAAGCTCAGAACTGTCTATAAGTAAATTCTCTTGGTTTAACGGATTTACTAATTAAATCTTGAATTAATCTCGGTATAACGGATTTTTGAAATTTTTGTTCTAATTGCCCAAATTATCCACTATACCAAGACTCACTGTGTATGTTTGTCTTTTATTATTAAGATATTATTGTTATTATATTCCTTAAACATTATTTAAATCTTGTGTGTAGAATTATTTTCCAGTAATGTGAGTCATGTAAAATTCTTTCATTTAAATATTATTCTGAGATTTGGTAATCTGTTACACTTTAGAATGTTGGAATATTTATATCTCCATTATTTGGGATATTTTCTGAGAGCTATTTATTTTATTGGTGTGCCATTTTAATCAGTTTAACATTTAATAAATTAGACTGGTTTATTTCTTGTTGAGTTATTCTGTGATAATCACTTCCAAGCTTTCACTTTGTGATTAGGGTTTTTATTCATGAATATGATGAATACACTCACCTGCCAAAAGTATCCGGATACTTTTGGCAGGTGAGTGTATCATTAAGGGGGTTACACACTATTAAAACAGCAAAAAATCCCTTAAAAACATGATTTTAATAGCATGGTGGAAGGACTGGGAAAACTCTATAGTATGTGACCACCAAATTAAATGGCAAATCATATTAATGCGAATCTTAGTTTTTTATAATTATGCGAATCAATTTTCCGAACACATTT